GAAATCCAATAAAGGTATTTTAATATGAATAACAGCTTTAGGGGAGGCGATTGCCTAGTGGTTAGAGCAGTGCACTTGTGCTCTGAAAAGGTTGCAAGTACCCGGTTCAATCTTAAACAGCCTGAACGCTGGGTCCCTGAGCAAGATTCCTAACACCCGATTGCTCCCCAGGCCCCACACAGGGGCAGCCCACTGCTCTCCAAGGGGATGGGTTGAGATGCAGAAGCGATTTCTCCATTATGAGATCAATGTTGTTTAATTATTATCATAATTATTTAAATCCATCCATGTATTTATTTAGACAGATAAATTGCTTTTAGTATTCAGTTCTCTCTCTTAAGGTGGTAAAGAAGGACTATTACAAGGTGAGAGGATTCAGTGTAGCACTAAATTTTATGTTAGGAAGCTCCAGCAAAGGATGCCTGATAATGTACAGTGGACATTATGGAATGCAATAATTTTTGGCTGATGCATTCCAAGTATTATGAGCTAGCATTTTTCATGCAACTATAATATTTAGCCAGTTGGACAGAGTGTAATTGCAGCAGATTCTCTCACCTAACACAAATTACATTGCTCACAATGCTTAAGGTCAGGATAAAGAAAGGAGGGGGGAAAAAAATCACCAATGATGTCATAATCATTATAGCATTAACCACTAACACTGCATGAAAAGTGGGATTTTCGTCAATATGCGGCACTGTAGATTGTCGTGGAACTTCAGGTTAGCGGCAGTTTACGACAATTTGCAGGCTTCACCGAAAACTCCCGTAAATTGTCAGAAATTGACGTGGACTTTCTTAGGCAGTGTTCCCCCCATGTCTCCCCCCCATGGAATTCTAGGGGAGGCTTTAACATGTAAATGAAAATGCTGTGAGCTATACAAATGCAAATCAGGGTTGCAGGGGGTGTTTTACTCCAAGTGACATTTTTCTAAAAGGTAAGAAAATCTCTGATACAAAGAGATCAGGCTCAGTATAGCCTCTTACATTTTAGCTTGAATTGATTTATTTAATTAAAGTATAGAGACCAAAACAGATCTTTAGCTGACAGAGCAATACATTTAGAGCAGTAATTATATAAAAAAAAAAAATTGCATTTAAGATAAAAAAATAAAATGTTGTCTGTCAATATGCTCAATTCACAATTACTTAGGTGGAAAAGTTTCAAGAAATGAGTCTGAGATGATTCACTTTATAACATGGTGCATTATCCTGTTGGAAGTAGCCATCAGAAGATTGGTACACTGTGGTCATAAGGTCCGGCCAGGTCAAGATCCGCAATTGCAATCGCACCAAACAGGAAAAAGAACATCGACAAATTCCGGTTCGTCATATTAAAATATAGCAGCAACAGATCGGTGACTAGAAATTATAGCACAATTCTTATATATAAAAAAAAAAAACTAACACCGTTTATTTAAATGATTGGATCCAAACTATTGGTTATTCACCAACGAGGAAGCAGATTTCTCATCTCCATCAAAATATTTATTTTATACCGAGGGACTTAAACTTTAATCAAATCCATTCAAAAGAAACTTCTTATTACAGGAATGAAAAGAGATGCTGAGTTTGGGAGCAGTGAACAAGTTCATTAAAAAAAAGCAGTTTTGAATTATCCTTATCCCCGTTACAAAAATCTAAAAATATATATATATATATATTTGGGCAGAAACTGAACATATGCTGGATGATGGTGGGATTTTTTTAATATGTCATATTAAATTAAGCGCTCACAGGGTTCATACAGGAATGAGTGACTCTAATTTAATGCTATTTTAATGCTATTTGAAATGATTTTAATGCCATCAACAAGAACCATGTACACAAGTTATTAGTGCACATGAAATATGAAGGAGCTGTAAGCACAGTTCCATGACTCCTGTATGTATGTAAACACACACATACACACAAATATACGTATATATATATCCTGTAGCTTTTTCTCCGCCTGGAGCGATATAATATATCTGACGAAATTGTTTTTATAAGCATTTTTTATTAAAGAATTATAAATACTTCGATAAACATATTTAAATAATTTTAGTGCCAATTAAGGCCTTGATTTAAAAAAAAAAAGAATGATTTTTTAATTATTTTTATTGATCCGCGGAAACCCTGGTTCATCTCGCGCATGCTCTTTACGATCTCCAAGAAACTCAGAGCGGAGGGGTCTGCAGCCACAGTGGAGGATGTATGCTTTGCTTTGTGCAGGCGGTCTGGAGCGGAGTATGGGGGATTTCGGGGTAAAACTCCTCTTGGACGCGATGGCGACTCTGCATCGAACAAGACGAACTCAAAGAAGAGATGCTAGCGGTAAATATATGTTCGATTACTGCCTGCTAGGCTAAAAGCAGCCTAGCCTAAGCTACGGCTAAAAGCAGCCTAGCCTAAGCTACGGCTAATAGCAGCCTAGCCTAAGCTACGGCTAATAGTAGCCTTGCAAGAACAAGCTTTATTAAAGTGTATTTTTTGTGATTCACAGGAAGCAGTACGCTGTCTTCACAACTCGGAGACTAATTGCAGGCGCTATGATCCGGAGCAAGGGTAAGATTTAAAGAATATGCTTTCATTCTGCGGTAAAAGGCAATGGATACGGATGGATACCGATCATAGCTGTACATTTTGTTTTCACAGACCTCCTATTTGCTCGGAGCCATATCAGCAAGTCCAGATTTGCACGATGTTGATAAAGACGACATTGTGTGTAAGTGACTTGTTTTAATGTTTTCTCCTTCCTTGTTACTGTGACTTGCGTTTGACAGTAGGCGTCTGCACATCGGACCTGCCATGGAGGGAATGCTGCCAGTTACCTCCAACCCCGAGGAAGCAAACGGACCGTTCACAGACTTTTAATTTTTAGATACGCATGTGTTTGGATACGCGTTGTATATAGTTGTGTGTGTTTTAATAAAGCTCTTTCTTTGCATAAACAGCTTCCTGGCAAATGTTCATTTCCTGTATAAATTCATTCATGTCCTTGATGGTAGCCTAATAATTGTGTAGTAGTGTAGGATAACATAAATACACAGCATATGAATGAATAAATATATGAAGGAATAAATATATATTCATAAATATATACACTCACCGGCCACTTTATTAGGTACACCTGTCAAACTGCTCGTTAACACTTAATTTCTAAGCAGCCAATCACATGGCGGCAACTCAGTGCATTTAGGCATGTAGACATAGTCAAGACAATCTCCTGCAGTTCAAACCGAGCATCAGTATGGGGAAGAAAGGTGATTTGAGTGACTTTGAACGTGGCATGATTGTTGGTGCCAGACGGGCTGGTCTGAGTATTTCAGAAACTGCTGATCTACTGGGATTTTCACGCACAACCATCTCTAGGGTTTACAGAGAATGGTCCGAAAAAGAAAAAACATCCAGTGAGCGGCAGATCTGTGGGCGGAAATGCCTTGTTGATGCCAGAGGTCGAAGGGCAACAGTGACTCAAATAACCACCCGTTACAACCAAGGTGGGCAGAAGAGCATCTCTGAACGCACAGTACGTCGAACTTTGAGGCAGATGGGCTACAGCAGCAGAAGACCACACCGGGTGCCACTCCTTTCAGCTAAGAAAAGGAAACTGAGGCTACAATTTGCACAAGCTCATCGAAATTGGACAATAGAAGATTGGAAAAACGTTGCCTGGTCTGATGAGTCTCGATTTCTGCTGGGACATTCGGATGGTAGGGTCAGAATTTGGCGTCTACAACATGAAAGCATGGATCCATCCTGCCTTGTATCAACGGTTCAGGCTGGTGGTGGTGGTGTCATGGTGTGGGGAATATTTTCTAGGCACTCTTTGGGCCCCTTGGTACCAATTGAGCATGGTTGCAACGCCACAGCCTACCTGAGTATTGTTGCTGACCATGTACATCCCTTTATGACCACAATGTACCCAACTTCTGATGGCTACTTTCAGCAGGATAATGCACCATGTCATAAAGCTGGAATCATCTCAGACTGGTTTCTTGAACATGACAATGAGTTCACTGTACTCAAATGGCCTCCACAGTCACCAGATCTCAATCCAATAGAGCATCTTTGGGATGTGGTGGAACGGGAGATTCGCATCATGGATGTGCAGCCGACAAATCTGCGGCAACTGTGTGATGCCATCATGTCAATATGGACCAAACTCCCTGAGGAATGCTTCCAGCACCTTGTTGAATCTATGCCACGAAGAATTGAGGCAGTTCTGAAGGCAAAAGGGGGTCCAACCCGTTACTAGCATGGGGTACCTAATAAAGTGGCCGGTGAGTGTATATATATATGTAAATTTATATGTAAATATATATATATGCCAACCAATCACGAGCGACTTTACTTGTTTAAAAAGAAGTGGTTCCGTCCAATACTCAGTACGAAAATTAAAGCCTGGCGTGGCCACGTTTGGTTTTGCTGCCAATCACGAGCGATTTCACTTGTTTGAGAATAGTGGTTTCAGCCAATACTGAGAAGGTTATTCAAGCCAGACCTGGCCAGCCCCGCGGGTTTGCTGCATTCATATGCTAATTAGGGCCATTAGTACAGCTGATCGCTCTCCACATACGTCAGAGTCCGTTTCCGACAATTTGTGGCACGACAAACGCGGAGAAGCACGGGTTACAAATTGTCGGAAACTGACGAAAATCAGGCAGATCTGCGGGAGTTTACAGGGGTTTACGGGGACGAAAATCTCACTTTTCATGCAGTGTAATATGAACATCACAAGATTTTCTAACTGTGCAGCCCTCATTGCAGCTCTTTAATTCAACAGGGCCTAAAACATTTCTTAGTCCAAACAGAAACCAAATAAAAAAAGAAAACAAGTCTCTTTTTTAAGATGGACTGTGCCTAACACTATACTACACTTTTGATGCTTTGTAGATTACACATATTTTACTATTCAATACTTGTCAAAAACAGAGCTATCACTGCAAATGTTTTAAGTTTTAGTTACATTTTTCTTTAAACCATTTTTAAAGATATGTTCAAACAAAAACTCACTGCATCCATCCTCATCGCTGTGGTCCCCGCAATCATTGTCTCCGTCACACTGCCATTGGGCCGGGATGCAGGTACACTCTCCAAATGCGCTGACGGCACATGTGAAGTGGTTCCTCCCGCAGGAACAGTCAGCGCTGCCCTGAACTCCTGCACACAAGCAAAGGAAAAGGAGGTGAGAAACTGGTGATTTAAATCCAATGATTTAGTCATCATTTATTAAAGGTTTGGCATCTCTTTCTTTGCAATAACCTAGACAACATTATTCAGATACCAAAGGATTCTAGCAGTTATAAGATGAAACTAATACTTCTAAAATGAATACGGGAAACAGATTTTTACTGCTTAAAGTGAATTATTGTCTTCTATGGCGGTAAACTATCAGCTCTGTTTGAAGATTAACTTCATAGAATTTATCTATATAATTAGGACAGAGCAGAATAATAAACATTAACATGATATACAGCAATATATATATATATATATACTCATCCATTGTACGAAGGCAGATGATTATAGAAGGGGAGAACAAGACGACTTCCTGTCTCATAACATCGGCAATTAGAGACTTCTGTAGCAAATACTTTTATGAGTCAATGCTTTTAAATTGGAAAGGGAAAAAAAGCTTAAAAAACGTTTTGCAAGTTGAATTCTCTTCATCTGGTAAATGGAAAGCCTAACAACAATCCCTTGAACAACAACACCATGTTGTTAAAAGTGTAGAAGTCTAAACAACTTTTAGATCTTTTGGGTGGCAGCCTTTGGTCTACAGGGTAGAAAAAAATTTACATTTAATAGACACCCCATGAATGATTTGTATATGTGGATGCTCCAGACTCCTATGGGTGCATCTTCTAGATCAGAGGTCACGGATTAGCGGACCGCAGTCCGGATCCGGACTCAACCTAAAATTACTGCATGTTGTCCGACGGCAGTGTCTAATTTCACTCGCATTCTCCTGTTAACAGGGTAAAGCCCTCCAGAGCATCAGGCACCAGGCTACACGTGATACAAATTAGCCAATGAGCTGCTGTCAGGTTGGGTTCCTGCTGTTTGCTACTTTTAGACAAAGCAGGTAAACCTGTGGCAAGCCGGGCGGTTGGAAAGAAGGAGAAGATGATAAGAAAAAGTGAAAGAAAGTGTGGACTGCTGGAAGAAGCGCAGTGAATTAGTGTAAGAAAAGTGAAATGGTGTGCTGAAAGATGACCCTGCGCATTTAGAGTATATTTGGCCCAACCAAACCTAAGCAGGATTCTCCACCATGAACAGAATCAAAAATAAAAATGGATTCAGGCACAACATGAGCCTTAATATGTGCTTTAGAATGGCTTTGTCACCATTCAAACCCATATATATATGTTTTGCGGATACAACATAAAAAAAAGAGAAAACATCTACCCTTTAACTTAGAATAAGTCAAACACACAATACATTTACCGTTCTCCAAGACCTAACCATGGCTACAAAAAAGGTATCACATGATCACAGACATCCCAGAGATGCAAGACGATGAGATGGAACAAATCAGGTTTCCCCTGTTTTGCTCTCCCTTTGAAGTCCATTAATGACCATCTGTGTGTGTATTTGTGTGTCAGTTTAGCTGAAACCAGCCTGCCACAACCCAAAGTTTCTTGGAGCGTGTGTGCATGTGTCTGTGTGTGGTTCCTGGCCTCTTCACAAAGGCATCAGTAACCTTCAGATCCCTCCCACAGCACTAAATTAATGGCCTCTTTCTATTCATTTCCCTCTCTCCTCTTTCCACAATCCTTTCTTCACATTTCCCCCCCTTAGTTGCCTCCCTTCTTTTCTCATCTTCTCTAATCCCCCCCCCGTCCCATTGCTTTCCGAGTTCTTCACTAATTGAAGTGAAACAGGGATGGCGTCATCCACATCTTCCTGTCTTTAAACTTGTCTTTCTAATTTTCTCCAACACAGTCTGGAATTCCTCCAGTCCCTGACCCTCGGGGTGTAGCATTCACCCGAGAGACAACAGAGGACAATCTGACCATCTACTACAGTCTGCAACAGATTCTAGGCACTCGTCAACCCAACCTTTTTAGCTGGAACCCTAGTGTCATAAACTCTGCTCAATTTGTAACCTTGAGCTAATGTACGTTTCGTGCAGATGTGTGTGGGTTTACATAGCCCTAAATTAGTCTGTGAGCTGCAGCAGAAGTCTTGTCAACATGAAGCCACATCAGAGGGCTTGCATTTGTCAAACATGCTTTAAATAGCGGGGGTCACTAGCTTTGACCAGAGCCAAAGAAACTTAAGAGACTAGCAGGAAGCCACCAACCACACTATGCCACAAACCTATATAAATTATTCTAAAGCAGTGTAAATGAAACCATGTGCATCAATCTGCAGAGACAGGTGGTATCATTGTGGGGATATAACAGGGTACCTGCCAGAAGGAAAAACTCTAAATATTTTAATAAGAAAAAAAAATTTTTGGACAACTTATTGCAATTTTCTTTTTCACTAAGCACAACCATGTTGATGTATTTACCCCATGGTTTCAGTTTTTTCATGACCTTAAAAGCCTGCTTCTCCAGAGTCCAGTGCTGCAGGACTTTGCTGCAACATTTGCATGAAAAAAAAGTTTTACTTCCAGATGCATAGATCTAGGTGCTAGCTGCAACTCTCTGTTCCCTTCTGTGCGACAGCATACTCTCTTTAATCGTGGTAGACAAGTTTAATCGTAGACAAGTAGTTTGATTTAAATCATAGCAACAAAATAGTTAATAAAGGGGAATTTAAGGGATTTTTTTAATATGACATGTTTGACAATTCCAAACAGTCATACTGTATTTATGAAACCTCTCTAGGGATTGTCACACAACTATTTTAAAAGTTCAAGATTGCTACAACAAATTAAATATTATTATTATTTAATATTATAATTAAATACAAATTAAATAATGAAAAACTAATTGTACAATGCTAGATTGAAGAAATGTGATATCTGGGTTGAGTTCAGATTGAGAATTCAGATGGGATGGCAGAAGTTGATGTAAGCAACAAGTTAAAAATCCTGTCCTGTATTATGGGTTTGGGCCTGTAACAGAAGTGTAATGATGTTAGGATATTTTCTCAAACTTTAGGGTTCAAAGCACCAATACAAACATTATTTAAAATGTTCAAATCAAATCAAATATGCTTTATTTTTTATTGCACAATTATCAATAAGATTAGAGAGCTTCTCATTTCAGTAGAAAACATATCAAATATTACAGACAGAAATCCTTACTACTATAAATGATACTATTCCCCAAACCCTAACTTCTCAGTAAAATGATCAAAGTGATTAAAATGTATGTGCATACATTCAAAATTAACATTTCTTCTGTTAAAGCTGACAATATCAAGGCAATCTCAACTCCACGGTGGTGCTCAAACTGCAGGATCTTCAGATGCCGAGAAAACTCATAGTTTGGGTTTTCGTTTTGTTTTTTAAAGGGGAAAAGTCGACGCTTGAATTTTATTTAGCATTAATTACAAATTTAAAATAAACAAGGAAACAAAAACAAAAAATCCCAACAAGATATCATTTATGACGGAAAGTGATAGTGGTAAAAAAACAAAAAAACAAAAAACTTGCATCTCAAGCACAAACAAACATTAGTTTAGGAAAGTCAGAAACTATGCTCAAACAGACAGACCTTTATCTTTTTTTCTGATAGTAGAGGAAGATCAGCACACACTAGATTGTTACGTAAGGCTGCAGACACAGAAACTATGCAACAGCCAGGCCTGGCGCAGCACAGTGCCTTTGGAGAGCGCCAGCGTGACAAGCTTCTGATGCATCACAAAGATACCAGATCACAAGCAAGGCTTTTTATGTAGACACAGTAAGCCACTTTGTGGAATGAATACAGCACAAATGTCTCAATATTTCAAAGCCTATTCACGTGAAGAATTGACACAAAAACTGTCTTTATAGTTCAATGATATGTTTGGATTTCTTTCAACAATAAAGGTAGTTTGAGAATAAACCATGGATCATACTGACAAAGCCCCATAGGGGTAGTACAAACGTACTTTTGTGAAATAACATTTTTTTTCTTGTTCAGCTTTGAAACAATGCAGCAAAAAACTTTTGTTAGATCTTCTATTTCCAACTTTCATTTATACTTACCAGTAAATGTTTCTTAGAACAATTTTAAACATCACAGGTAGTCGACATAAATGCAAAATCCAGTTAAATTGCCATTTAATTTTGAAAGAAAAGGCTTTACAAACCAATAAGGCACTATATTGGGAACGACTTGCCACCCAAACCCATTAGCCTGTCCAAAGACTGGCAGCAACAACTTTAACCAACAGTTTCTATTATTTTTGTTTGTTATTTTCAAACAGCCTTAGCAAAATTGGTCATTTAAATCACACAGGGATTACGTTTTTTTGGTGTTGCATAAATTGCCATTAAAAGATGACACAAAAACATTTCAATTAGACTTATCTTCAGAAACTGCTGGTCTCTGCATTGTTTTTTTTAGATATCTGAGGCAGTCACTTGCAACGTAAAAGGTGGCTTGTCTTGGTGTTAAAATTAGCAAGAGAGGATGTGACATAGACGCAACATATCCAAGTATAAGAACAAGATGAAAGAAAGTGAAAGTGCCTTCATGAAGACAGTAGAATTTGAAAAAGAATTGTGCAGAACAAGTGCATTTGGACATCAAAGCATCAAAAGAGGATCCATGAGAACTTACTTTCTTCTTTGTGCTTTTTATTTCCACTAAATCATCAAAGTGCTGGAGCGATACCATCACTGGAACAATCCATTGCAAATACGTGATGATATTTGGCCCTTTCTTAGGATCCTGTGATAGCTAAGATGGGCAACTGATGGTTTCAATCTTCTCTCAATTACCAATCCCTGGACAGATCAAGCTGAGTGAATGTGCCCATATGGTTCTTTTGAATCTTCTGACGAGGTTCCCCACTGGTACATATTTTCTCTCTGATGGATGATAATGGCCTTTACTGTAGTTTGCTGGAATTCCAAAGCCTTAAATATCCCTTGGTAACAGGTTTCAGACATATATCATAAGTTATTTCCCATCTGTCTCTGATTTGGTTTATTTGTGAAATGCTGTCGTTCTTTGTTAGTGTTCCTGTTGTCATACAGGTTATTTTTAAAGATA